TAGGCAGAATAGAAAACCCAGCACTAGGAAAAATTGCTTACCTGCTATTACTTAGATTTTGAAGTTTTAAATAAAGCTTCTTCACATCACTCTCTAAATATAAATGTGCAGTATATATTTCTAACTCCAGTTTTATTTAGAGAGGATGTGAAACGTAGGGAGAAAGCAGGTTCTGGAAATGCTCTTTTTTTGGCTCTGGCTGGGTTTTCCCTCTCCACATCCTTCACCACATACTGCAAAAATTAACAAAAGGTTTCCATAACTCAATGGAACTCATTCATAAAACAAATATAATGGTGGATCATCTTATTTATGAATGTGAGAAATCAATCACTCCAATGAGTACTGAGGATCTAATGCTTCCTTTACCATCTAAGGTGGGGAGGGAATAAGAGTATCTTAAACACCTTAAACACATTGAACTATTTAGATGATGCTATTTAAAGTCTACCCTTGGGTTAAAAATGTCAGGATTAATTTATGTTAATTTCACAGATCATATATGCTCACTCCAATAAAGACATATCAAATTTACAACCTTTAATCAAGCATTGTGACTAATGCTTATAATCCCACCAATAAGAAGACCTAGGCATAAAAATTACTGTGAATTTGGGGTCAGAATGGACTACCCAGCAATAAGGAGAATGCAAAAAAGAAGCACAAGCAAAGAAGAGGAGTAGAAGGAGGAGGAGGAAAAAGACATCACACTTTGTATACTGACTAGTTTTATGTCAATTTGAAATAAGCTAAAGTCATCAGAGGAGGGAGTCTCAACTAAGAAAATGGAAATTGTCTCCATAAGATTGGGTTATAGGCAAGCCTGTAGGACATTTTCTTAACTAGTGATCAATGTGGGAGGGTCCAGGATGCCATCCCTGGGCTGGTAGTTCTGGGTCCTATAAGAGAGCAGGCAGAGCAAGGCATAGGGAGCAAGCCAATAAGCAGCACCCCTCCATGACTTCTACCTATGCTCCTCACTCCAGGTTCCTGTCCTCTGTGGTTTCCTGACCTCACTGCTTTTGATGATTAACTGTAATATGGGACTGGAAGCAAATAAACCCTTTCCTCCTCAAGTGGCTTTTGGTCACAAAATTTCATAGCAATATTGGAGGTATGGCCTTATTCAAATAGATGTGGCCTTATTGGAGGAAGTCAGTCATTGTTGGATATGGGCTTTGAGATTTTAGAAGCTGAAGTCAAGCCTAGTGGCTCACTATCACTTCCTGCTCCTTGTGGATCCAGATGTAGAACTCTCAGCTACCTCTCCAGCACCATGTCTGCCTGCATGCCACCATGCTTTTTGCTATGATGATAACAGATTAAACTTCTGAAACTGCAAGCCATCCCCAACAAAATGTTTTCCTTTATAAGAGTTGCTATGGTCATGGTATCTTTTCATGGCAATTAAAACCTAAGACATTAACCCAATATGCTATCATGTTGGACAAACCCTTATTTTCTGCTAGAAGTAGAAAGAACAAGGAGAGCTGAGAGATTTTTTTTAAATAAGTAGTGTTATTTTTCAATATAACATTAATTAGCTATTTTACTAAGAATATTGAATATAATACCATCCTATGTTTCCTTACTGGATGTTCTCAGTATGAGGAGGAAACTATAAATGGAGACTCTTAAAGTAAGGATACATAGGATGGTATTGTATTCAATATTCTGTGGCCTCCACATATATTCACACATATCCACACAGACACACAAGGGGCACACACACACACAGAGAGAGCGGGGGGGGGGAGAGAGAGAGAGAAAAGAGAGAGAGAGAGATTGAAAGGCATTGAATTACTCACCATGCACCCCTGTCAATTTCTAACATTGCTTTCATGTTTTAGAGTAGGGATATCAGGGAAACCAGAAAGTATTTAGTTGAGGATATAACTATAAATTTTCAGTGTTTAAAATGTACAAAATGAACATGGAACTGGCAGAGTAAGGAAGTGAAAAAAAAGACTGTATCTGTTTATTTATCAGCTAGTCTTTACTGAGAATGATGGTAAGATATTTTACAAACAGAAAAGGCCCAGTGCTCCTTTATCCACTACCTCAGTTTCATTTCCTGGGATATATAGTATAGAAGATCATGCTTTCAGGGATTAGTAGATAGTTACTAGTTTTATAGTTTTGTCAAATCACTCTACCTCACAGAAACTTCATCTTCTCATCTATAGAGTGGGGAAAATAAAACAAAGGGGACAGTTCGAAGAGTATAATGAAGTCATACATAAAAAAGGACTTGGTTTTTTCTTGTTAGCCTCTAGAAGCACTAGAGATCTTTCAGCACCTAAGTCACAAGAAGAATACATAATGTGGATGAATCTGCTCAACTGGGTTCCCAGTTAATTATCACACTTCCCTGTTGAAATGCCAAGTAGGTTGTCACGACTATTTAAATATTTGAGCACAAAGGATTTGGTTTCCCTCCTCACATTAAATGTAGAAATCAAAATGTTTCTGTAAATGGGAGCTGCTATTATCTTTACTGTTCTTGTTACTCATTTGGCTATGAACATGTCATGCTTTTTAGAAATGAGAAAATAGGGAAGTGTTTTGAGTATGTCCTAATAAAGCCAACATTTCAAAATACTTTGTATAATTCTTTTATGATGTTGGAGATTGAATCTAAGCCTCATACATACTATGCAAATGTGCTGCCCCTGAGATACACCTTCAGCTGTCACCAATTTGTAGAACCAAGAGGTTCTACAAATCTTCTCTTAACCTCTGAGTTCTCAATATTTCTAAAGACTACTTGTTTGTATTCTCACCTGTTATTGTCACACACTCCTAAGCATCCCAAACTATGTGTTTAACAAGTGTGCTAAAATTCCTGAGCTCCTGGTTGTATATTACTGTGCACAGAACACAAGTGTCCTTAATCCCTAGGAAACTCTCAACATGACCCAACACAATTAGTGAGGAGAAGATGTGTCTTTTGCAAAGAGGTGTGGTGGCTGATATGGAAATCCTGTCATTTGGTATAAGTAAATGACCCCCTCCTTCACAGTTTCAGGAAGTAGCCTACAATAACAGATTATAAAGTTAATTTCTCAAGCGTTTTTTCTAGGTTCCTGTCACTACGTTTGGATTCAGTGAGAAACAATAACAGTGGAAAAGAGTATTGTTTCTTAGGTGGATCTGAGGAGCTGAGTTTAAACAATCTCTTCTTTGAACTCGAGGAAATGCACAACCAAGCTATACTTTCCAAGAGGAAGAGCCAGGTACAAAGCAAATGAACAAAGTATTCAAATACATGCTGACTGAGAATGCAGAAGAACCAATTCAAAAGCTAGAATGGCCTCATATTGTGTTCTTTGGGGCCTTTAGAACTGGTTCCTAGGTGACTGAGGAGATGCTTGGAACTATGGAAGAATGTTGGAAGAATGTGCTTGTTTGTAACCATCCATCCCTCTGTCAGTCCATCTGTCTTTCCAGGCAACTCTATCCCCTGTGTCATGCAAATGCATTAGGAAGGGGAGTAGGGCACTGCCTGGAAGGGCTATGGTAGGTATCATAGTTACTTTTCTATTGCTATAGCAAAACATCATGACCAAGACAGCTTCTAAAAGAAACCATTTAGTTGATTTTACCATTTCAGAGGTTAAGAATCCACATGGTGGATCAATGTCTGGTGGCAAGAAAAGCTGAAAGCTCACATCTTGATTCAAAGTATGAGACAGAGAGAGAACACACTAGGAATGACACAAGTTTTTATAAACCTAAAGATCCATCCCCAGTAATAAACCTTCTTCAACAAGGCCATACCTCCCAATCCTTCTCAAACAATTTCACCAGCTGGGGACCAAGTATTCAAGCATATGAGCCTATGGTCCAACAACGGTATTTGTAGATTGTTTTTTGTCTCATGTTACTTGTTTGGGCATTTATCTTACTGGCATTTTGCTTGCATATTAGAGTTTCTGATTTGTATATTTTTATGGTTGTGTGTGTGTGTGTGTGTTTCTTATGCCTTATCTATTCTTTCTTAAACTGGTTTATTTTATTTCTGTTTGTTTTCTAAAGAAAGAGAGAGAAGGTGTGGAGTTGGATAGATGGGGAGGTAGGGAGATCTAGGAGGAAATGAAGGAGCAGAAAGTTAATATTTGGAATTTATAGAAGATACAAAAACCTAAACAATAACAAATAAGAGAATTTAATCAATAAACTAACTAATGGCGTGAACAGATACATTCTCAAAGATGAAATACAATAATCATTACAGATGTAAGCTACATTGAGATTCCATCTCATTATAGTAAGAAGGACCATCATTTAAAACCAACAAATCATGGGAAGAATATGTGCAAAAGAAACACTTATACACCACTGTGGTAAGAATGTAAACTACTCTAGTTACTATTGAAATCAGTATGGAGGCCTCTCAAAAACTAATGTTACATCTACCATAAGGCTTACATATACCATTCCTGGGTATTTAATCAAAGGACTCCTTATCAAAATATCACAAAAATACATACACATAAATATTTATCACATCATTATTCATAATAGCTAAGTTATCACATTAACCAACCTAGGTATCACAGGAATAGAAAAAGATAATATGGCATATATAAATAATGGGATTTTTCAGCTTTACAGAACAATGAAATTATGGTGGAAATTTTATAAAGCTGAAGACAATTACATTAAACAATCATTATGTTTTATCTTATTTGTAGTTCCTAGATTTTATACAGATACTTACAATTATGAAAGTAGAAGCAAAACTAGAGGAACAAAGAAGACTAATGGGAGGGGGAAGAAAGGAAGTTGGAAGAGTATGAGAAGGAACATGCTCTACATATAATATATGCTTATGTGACAACTACTTATGTAACATACATCACTCCATGTAAAGTGAAAATACACAATGAAAGAATTCAAAAATAAACTTTAAAGAGAAGAAAAAATCACAAATAAACAAAATCTTTTTCAAATAAAGTGTTCATACATTGGTCATACAAATAAAAAGTCAGGCTTACCTTGACATACTGAACTAGACGTTCATTGACATTCACTTTATAAGTCTCTATGCCTAGCTCTTTAGACAAGCGTAAGATTCTGTTCTGTGTTGGTCCCACATAGGCTCCGCCAACATCTACCCATGTAACATGCTCATTCTGTAGAAAAGGAAAAGTGATCATTGTACTTAAACTTTGTAATCAAGAAATCTTTTCATCATGAAAACTCTTGTTTATTTTGCTAACTTAATTGTGTGTTGCATGTCCCTTATAGTGTTCACCAGAAACTCAAAACCTTTTTCTCTTCCACTCAAAAGATGAGGAACACTGTCTGAGAATTCGGTAGGCATGTCCATTTGTAGAGTTATTGGTGAGGCTGATTCAGCAATACAACACATAAAAAACATTATAGTCCATTCTGCTGATCTAGATCCTTTGCAAATCACTTATTATGTGAATTTTGTTCTTGGGTTATTGCTATAGGAGTCATCCAGGGATTTATTAAACCTAATTCCCCAATTTCTGTCAGATGAAATATTAAATCAGTCCACATTTGTGGGCTTCTGCCAATATTCTAACACATTTCCAGGTAAAAATTCATTATTGCAAAAGAATATTTAAAAGCTTAAAATATTCATGTAACGATTTAATTATTTATAGATATATGAACTCTCTTAAAAGCTAAAACTATTTTTTCCTCTTAAATGAAGCTCTCCACTTTTCCCAGCTTTTTTATCAATACATTTGATTTAATCAACAAATTGAATGTTTGTAACCTACAACTCTTTTATGCATTTTTAATAAGTTCTTTCAGGAGTACTTCATTCTATTGTTTTCATCAGTTATTTTGTGTGCTCATTGCCTTTTATCCTTACTTGCCTGATTATTTTTATTGTGAATAATCACTGTACTTGAAAACCTTGCAGAAATAATAGACTTCTGGTAGTTATTTTTCTCAGAAAAGATTTATGAGATCCTAATGATACTAGACAACTATTTCTTTTCAGTATCTGAGATTTGGAGCTAGGAAATGCACATATAGCTAGTCTTCTTACAGTTTGCCCTTAGTTCTAAGATGCAGCCCAACCTGAAGAGAAGGGTTGAAAACCTTTCCTCATACACATATTTCCCTAGGCTGGAACAAAATGAACAAGGGCGAAAGTCAAGTAAGACATCCTTTCAGGACACTGGAAAGACATTGGCTTTTTACTTAAGTGAGGAAGTGAGCCTTAGCATAGTGCTAAGATCTGACTTCAATTTGAATGACTCACTTTCACTGTTATGATACTGAAAATAAATTATAGGGCACAAGAGTAAAAACAAGGAAATCAGCAGTCTACAGCAGCAACCTGTCCTAGAGGTGATAGTGGCTCCCACCATAATGTAGCAGGAACAACAGTAGGAAACAATGAATTCCAAACATATTTTGAAGACAAAGGCAAAACAGTTTCTAGATAGCATGAACATTGGTCTAAAAGTACTAGACAAAACCCCAACTATTTGCTGAGTTACTGTATAGGAGTCTTGCTTTTGCAATTGTTCCAAGGTAACCTAGGATATTTAGCATGGTAGAAAACCGTTCTATCACTGAGCAATTCATCAGCAGGTCTCCAAGTGAATGTTCTATGTTCCTCAACAAGAATGTACTGTAGGCACGGGGTTATACTTCAGTGATTCAGGTCTTGCCCAGAATTTTCTGGGTTTCATGCCCAGTACACAAAATTCAGTTTGTACAATCAATTTGGAGATGTCTGCTCAATGTCTCTATCTACTAACTTCAAACTTCTCTGACAGATCAAAACAGTAAATTTTAATTAGTATTTACTTCAAACTTCTCTGACAGATCAAAACAGTAAATTTTAATTAGTATTTTACTTATTTCAATAGAAGAGTTACTCTGGGTTTATATCTTGCTTAGCAGTAGCAGTGAGGGGCTATTTTTGAGTTCTTTAATCTGGATATCCTACATTTCATGCTTTCTTTCACTAAGTGTCAATACTGTCCTGAAGTTTCTTTAGTCTCCAAAATCTTTAATAATAAAATTGGAGTCCGTACACAAATAAATTTCTATTGATTTAACACAGATAAGGAGAGTCTTGGGGATATCCAAACATTTCTTTAGAATACTGACACACTCTTTAAAGCAAGTAATCCTAAATGAAGCAGGAAAAACACTGAGGCATTCCACAAAATATTTCTTTAAAAATCAGAAATACTCATGAGGTACCCTGAGTTCTGCAGGAAAACATTAAGAAGTGTAATGTCATGCTGTGCTTGTTCTTTCTTTATTTAGAACATGTTACTCAGCCTAGGAGGCCACTAACATGAAAAGCTATTAAGAAACAAATACATTGACCTTGTGGTGACCTTGCAGGTATTCCAACTTTATTAATTTGATTCTGTAGAATTACAGATAGTTTAATCATGAAAACTAAAGTTCTGAACATGTAGAAAAAAAACATTAGAAGTCAGGTGACATTATCAAATTTGAAATTTTGTTTTTTAAAGATCCAAATATAAATGCTATGTGTTCATTTCTAAGTAGTTCTAAGATTTCTTTCTCATATCTATTCATGCTGAATAGATGCTAATAATTCCTGCCTGCTGCTGACATAAATAAATGGAGCAATGTGGCCAAGTAGCTCAAGCCATTAACATAGATTGGGATAAGCATGTTAGAATTTCATTTCCTTTATATGACTTGCTCTTAACTGAAAATCTGCAGCATGACTGATGTTCCTATTTAATAAACAAAAGGTTTAAATTATAAGAAAAGTAGGACTAAGGGATAATTTAATAACTATCTCTAGAATGAAGGACTATTTTTCAGAAATGACAAAAGAAGCACATCTACTGAGCGAATATAGGCAGAATACCATACAATGCTTTCAATTTCAATTTGAAGATGGGCTGATTGTTGGGGTACACACTTATGGTTCCATCCTTTCAAAGGTTAGGGCAGTAGGATCTCAAGTTGAAGGCCAACCTGGTTATACAGCAAGACCCTATCTCAAAAAATTTTAAATGAAGAATCAAATATGGTGGTTCATGCCTTTAATAGCAGCACTTGGGAGAGGCAGGTGGGTCTCTGTGAGTTCATGGCCAGTTAGGTTTATATATGAGTTCCAGGACAGCCAGAGCTACAAGATGAAACTCTGTCACAAAACCAAACAGAACATTAAAATAAAGGTGTACAGTAGCTTCTTGGAAGACTTTCATGTGAAATGCTAGTAGGACTTATCCAAGGTAGACTCAAGTAGGTATAGTGAAGAGATTCCAGTCCCCTCGCTCCTTTTGTACATTTTAAAATGTATGTACATGTTTTGCCTGCAAGTATGTGTATGCATCATGGGTATGCCTGATACCCACAGAAGTCATAAGAGGGATTCAAACTCTGGAACTGGATTTAAAAATGGTTGAACACCATCACATGGGTGCTTGGAACAAAAACCTGGTCCTCTGAAAGAGTAACAAGTACTTTTAACCAAAACCTATAGCAGACTATATCTAAGGAAACACTCAGAAATACTCCAAATGAATTTAATGTCAATTTATATCAAAGTAAAGGAATCAAACATGCTTTATACCACAAATCAGCATATCTGCAGCCTCCCCTTAGAAGCTTATTAAAAAGCAAATGGAGATTCTACAGTCCTAAGAATTTACTCTTGTTTCCAGATCATTCCAAGGCTGTAGGTCTATAGACAATACGTAGGGTAACAAGGTTGTATGACACATTGTTAGAGCTAAGCAAAATAAAAAGCAGGCCTCATGGGTCTAGTGAAGTATATACAAATAATAGAATGCATGAAATGGTATAACTAGAAGAGCTACTACTACACCCTCCTAGTTCATATGTCATCACACAGCTTTTGCAGTGGCCATGCCAAATACCAACTTTATGTTTGCTTCTTCTCTGCTGCCTGAAAATGTTAAATACTTCCTTTCCCAGGCTCCACCTATAGCTGAGATAGCCATTCTGCCTAATGAGACAAACATCTGCCTGGAATTTACTGGAAAAGGAAATACTCTTGGTCTCAGCCAAAAATGGTGCTGCTCTTTCGTTCTATTTCCTGTTTTGTTTGTTTTGAAACAAGATACCACTATGTAGCACAAGCTAGTCTTAAACCCATTCATTCTTGCCTAGACCTCTCAAGGGCAGGGCTTACTACTGTTGAGTTGAAAGGCCCAGTGATTCTTGTTTCCTTAAGAGAAGACTTGCTTAGAGCAAGTTACCAAAATATAACAAGCCAACATGTAAAGAATGAGAGAAAAAAGGGTGGGAAAAAATATCAAGCGTTCATAACAAAGCTGAATTCCTGTACTATCCTGGAATATCATTAAACTTCTGTGAAATAATTTAATGTTTTCACTGCCTAAACCACTGTTACTGTTATTGCATAGGCTACTTTGTTATTAGCAGAAACAGTTATCTAGGCAGATATTCTCTCTTTCTAATCTTTTAAAAACACAATATTCTTTTTCTTTCTTTTTTTTTTAACACTCAGCCTTTACCACTCTTTTAGTGTGCTCTACCAAAGGGGCTCATTAACGAATTTCTGCCATAAGCAAAGAAATCTTTATCCTATATCACTTAGCACTGCTGAGCACTCATTCCTCTTCCCTCTAGTGACAGGCTGTAGGCTGGCCCTCCTTCTTAGCTTATATGGCTTTTCTCTAACCCCTGTCTTCTGTCTCATTACATGGCCCACAAACTTCCATTCTTGGCATTATTTCCTTATATGTACTCCATGTGTACTTTTATGAGCTCCCACAGATCACAGATTCAGTTACTTATAGACACAGTACTATTGTATAATAGTTAACTTGCAGTTTTCCAGAATGTTAATGTAGATCCATGTGATGTAACAAGAACAAGAACTGTGTTTTTTACATGTAGCCAGACAAGACCTGAGCAAATAGGCTAAGGGCAAAAGGTACACAATGATATGTTACAATTACTTCTGCATACTATAGCCATTACACTTCTTTAGGCTGCATACTGTTGAATCTGTTGAATATACAAGGAATCCACAGTGTGTGTGTGTGTGTGTGTATGTATGTGTGTGTGTGTATTAGGGATACAAAATTACTTTATCTCAGGTACTATATAATCAAGCTGACTCTCTAATATAGAGATTATAACACTGTAATGAAGTTAATTGTTCACATTTGTGTTTACTAGGATGTTATTGAAGAGGCCATCATTATCTAGCCAGCACTTGTTGAAAACAATGTTCATGTTGGGCATAATACTGTATGTCTACAATCTCACAACTTGGAAGACTGAGGTACAAGAATGAATTTGAGATCAGCCAGGACTATATAGTGGGTTTAAGGCCAGCCTTAGATACTGAGAACAATACTGCCTCAAAAATAAAGAAAGATAGAAAGAAAGAAAGAAAGAAAGAAAGAAAGAAAGAAAGAAAGAAAGGAAAGAAAGAAAGAAAGGGCCACTTACTTGATGAAATAGTTTAGACTTGGTGGGCAAATGGCTTAACTGTGTGATCTCACAAGATCTATCTCTTCCAGTGCCCCATTTTAAGAGGCATGCTATAAGTATTGAAATCACTTACCCTCACAGTATGTGTTCTTCCTCCAACTCTATCACGGGCTTCCAAAACCAAGACATTAATTTTATATTCAGACAAGTGTTTGGCAGCAGCCAACCCTAAAGGCAAAATGAAAGAGAAGAAATTTTAACATCTAAATGCCAGACACCTCAGACTTATAAGATCTACACAGAAAGTAAGTAATCTAGGTATTACAAGTAATCTAGAGCTGATTTAAAGTATATAGAATGAGTATAGAGGTTCTGTGAAAATATATAATTTTATATGAAAAACTTAAGGATCCTCTTATTTTGGTACCCACAGGTACCCCTGAAAACAAACCTTCTAAGATATTAAGGAAAGATTGCTATGCAAAACATTTCTTCCATGATTCTGAATAAATACATGTTAATGTTTCAGTTTCCATGTTGATTGTGAAGACAATGACTACTTAGGAATTTTCATGACAAATAGAAAATAGAAGGTTAGAAAACACAGAAGAGTTCTTATTGGTTTGTTTTTTGTTTCAGTTTTCTGAAACAGGGTTTCTGTGTGGCTTTGGAGGTTGTCCTGGAACTAGCTCTTGTAGACCAGGCTGGTCTCCAAATCACAGAGATCCACCTGCCTCTGCCTCCTGAGTGCTGGGATGGGCATGCACCACCACTGCCTGGTTTAAGAGTTCTTTTTTTTTTTTTTAATGCTAGCAGGTAAAGCACAGATAAACTTTGCATTGTACAAAGGTGTTTTCTTTCATTTTATTTATTTATTGAGACAGGATCTTGTTAAGCAGCTCAAACTGGTCTTGAACTGTCAACAATTCTCCTGCCTCAACATCCAGAGTATTGGATTACAGGTGTGCAGCAACATGCTCAGCTTCAGAGAAGCTTTTCTAATATAACAACTATAGCTGTTAGTTGGGAAAACAAAAGATGATATCTACTATAAGAATCAAGTTTCTGAGATTACTCTCCTTAACTATTTATGCATTCTACCCTTCCCCAAATCACTATAAAATTCAACAATCACTTGTAGGAAAAAAACTTTCTCAACTGGATATAGTGGAACATTCCTGTAATTCTTGCACTCAGAATGTTCATGCTGGAGGATGGAAATTTTAAGGTCAGCATGGCTGTGCAGCAAGACTATGCATATCAAGGAGAGAATGAAGTAATGGGAAGAAGGGAAAGAAAAGAGAAGAGGAAAGGAAAGTGTTAAAGTTTATTATTATTATAATTCTTTTTTCCTCAGCCTCCAGAGTGCTGATATTACAAGCCCATGCAACTATGCCAGCTCAATGAAAACTTGTTGCTTCCCTAGAATACAGACCCTGCTATGTTGCAGGTGTCTGAAAGCTTGCTGCAATCACTACATACTAAGAAAACAAAATGACATTCATGTGGTTGAAGGTGACAGAGTTTGTTTGTTTGGTTTGGTTTGGTTTGAGGTTTTATTGTTTTGTTTTGTTTCAGATAAGGCCTTCTTATGCAGCTTTGGCTGACATCGAGGTCTACCAGCTTCTGTCTCTGCTGGGATTAAAGATGCACACCACCATACCCTGCAATAGGGTAGGAATTGAACATGTTATACATGCTAGCTAGGACTTATACGTGTTACCTAGGCAAGAAAAGGATTACTGGACTGTCTCCAGCCCTTACATTGCCTTTATCTAAAATAACCAAGAAAGCTTAACAAGGATAGTTATCAGGTCAGTGTATGTGTATGTGTGTGTGTGTATGTATGTATGTATGTACGTATATACATACCGAAGGGAGTCAGAATATTCTAAGTATTAATAGCTGATTTTTCTGATATTTAAACAAGTATTATGCTATCTGACAGACAAGAGCAAAGTATATCAGTATGCACACAAGCTTGTTGCTGATACATACAACCATTCCTATCTGTCTGTCTAACTATCTGTCTAATCTATACCTGTCTGGATTTTGTGCTGACTATCAAATAAATCACTCTGTGGATTTGTGTGTGTGTGTGTGTGTGTGTGTGTGTGTGTGTCAGTGAGAGAGAGAGACAGACAGACAGAGAGAGAAAGATAGAGACAGAGAAAGATCATTAGAGAATCAGATAGGAGCAACCAGGATGTTGTCTTTAAAAGGCCAAATTTTTACAGTCCTTTCAATTTCAATAAGCTAAAAACATAGTGCAGTCTCAAGTGATAAATAGAATCAAGCTAACAATTAACTTCAATTTACCCTTAATTCAACAGACTGCTTGTCTAGACAGTCTCAATTTATTTGATTACTGCTAAACATTTATCTTCACTTTAAATAAATAAATCTCACCTAAGTTGGGTAATGTAATTACTTCTTATTTGTTCAAGTCTTTCTTTGAAATTTTAAATACACTATATATGTTCCACACAGAAACCAAATTCCAAACATAGAGAAAGGCTAAATTTAAAGCCATGATTCCCCCAAAAGTTTTATGAACACTAATCCTCAGATAAGATACTCCAAGAAAGAGTATTAGTGTTCATAAAATTTGGGATCCTTATACAGCAAATAATAATGATAATAATAAGACTCATTAAATTTAGCATTTTCCCACACTCTGTTATTCTTTTTTTAAAGACTGTGAATCAAAATGCAATTAGGAAAAACTGGTTTAATCACTTTCAAGATTGTTCAAATAGTTACAGTAATAAACTCCTGCAGGCAGGGCCCTAGGTTAAATAACATCATAACATCTATAATGTAAGTTATACTGGAGTAAAGCTTTGAGATAGTCATGGTTTATCCTCTAACACCTCCCAAAATTATTACTATTAGTGATATTTCCAACTTTTTAATACTGATCTTCAACCCAGAATGTGCATAGTTAATTCCTTACCATTTTATGATGTGGCCCCTGACCAACAGAATTCCTATATAAGCAACCTCACACTTGGATTCTTGAACTTAATACTCCAAGGATAATAAAAAGTATAATCAAACATCAGCTTACACTAACGTTTCTAGGCAACATTCTCAAAGCTGGAAAACAGAGAACAGACCTTACAAATTTTACAGAAGGCACACAGTGAACACTCCATTGACAAATATTGAATGAATGGATGGATAAATGAATGAATGAATGTGGACACACAATAAAATGGGTTTTAAAGTAAGCCACAGCCCACAGTTAACTCATTTAATTTGGAAATGATCAATTTAATTATCATCTTCATTGTAGTTTATAACTTATCTAACGTCCAGAACACTTTTGTCAAGTATTACTTCCTCCATAAAATAATTCCCTTGCAATTTCCTGCAGGCAGAATTAGCTATTGCTTCCCTGTACCCCTGACTCTGAGAACCAATCTTAAGCATATGCTGAATATACCTCATCTTGTAATACTTAGGACCCTAAGTCTTTTAGGTTTCAGATTATCTCCTGTGTTTTCTGACTATACACTGCCACATGATGTCAGATGCAGAATTTTACATATGTGGCATCAAGTGAGCACTTGAAAACTTTCAGATATTTTTATCTTCAAGTTAGAAATGCTCATCAAGTACCAGCATCACTTCAGACTCATAGAAACAACAGTTACTGTGTAGAGAATTGAGCTAACAGATAAATTACAGAACACCTTCTGATCAAACTTGTTTGTTTCATGTGAGTCGGAATTTTATCTAATGCCTTCAAAGGCCAATGATCTTTATAATCTGTGATAAATACATAAACAATAAGTGGATATTTAGTATCAATACCTTCACTTCAAAATGTATGATCTCTAAATATTAACCTTTCAAAAGAATAAAATTAATCTTATTGGCTGGGAATATGGCTCAATTGGTAGAGTGCTTATATACAATGCATAAAGCCAAGGGTTTGATCCCCACCACCATAAAAACTGGCTTGGAACCTATAATCCCACTATTTATGATGTGGATACAGGGAAATCAGAAGTTCAAAGTCATCCTCAGCTACATAATGAGTTTGAAGCCAGTTTGAGTACATGAGACACTGTCTCAAAAAAAAAAAAAAAAAAGAGAGAGAGAAAAACGAACAGAAAAAAAGAAACCTTATGTTCATTAGTTTTAGTATGAACATTTTGACTATTTCATAATATTCTATTTACTACTAACTTTCTTATGTTGGTAAACTTATCTTTGGGTTTGTTCACTTATTTGTTACAGATAAATTTTCATATAACTCAGGCTGGCTTTGAACTTGGTATGTTGCCAAAGAAAAGCTTTAACTACTTCCTGATCCTCCTGATCTCCTAAATGCTGAGATTAAGAGCATGCAACTCAACATCCAATTGGATTTTCTTACAATTCATGTTTTATAGCTTCTGTGAGAGCTCAGCATCAGTCCAAATTATACTGCAGGCACCATGACAATGAAAAGGTTTCAAGAACACACAATATTAACCCAGTACAAAAGGAAATAGTTTATGTATAAAAATATGACCTCCTTTAAAGTGAAAAATTCAAATAGCTTTTACCAGCTTTTCAAGGGGATATTTGTATGGTGGTTTCTTTTTCCTCCACCCTCCCTCTCCTCCACAATGTGTGTGTGTGTGTGTGTGTGTGTGTGTGTGTGTGTGTGTGTTAGGGACCTATGGTATATTCACCCATGTGACCACCTGTGGAGGTCAGAAATTAACTTTAATCTTCCCCTACAGGTTCACCAACTTACTTTCTGAAGCAGTGTCTGTTGCTGAACCTGGAGCTTGCCTTTTTGTTAGGCTATCTGACCAGTCAGTCCCCAGGATCTGTCTGTTTTCACAGCCCCAGCCCAAACCAGCTTACCCCACTGCTAGTGCTAGACTTAAAGACAGGCATCTCTATACCTGACTTTTTCTGAGGTTTCCTAGGTTTTAAACTCTGGTCCTCATGCTTGTAGAGAAAACATCTTACCCACTGAGGCATTTCCCTAGCATCTTCTTTTAGTTTATGAACCCATCTCACGCTGTAGTTCAGGCTGATCTGGAACTCACTATTTAACCCAAGACTTCCAACTTGAGGTAATTAATATGCCTCAGCTTTCTAAGAGCTAGAATTAAAAATGTAACCTACCATACCCAGATTTCAGGGGTTTATTTGGTCTAAACAGGTAAGAATCATTGATTATAACTGTTTAATCTCTATACAGTACCATACATTCACTATTT